AACAACACTCTTCACCTTTAATCCCATCACACTGTTATACAACTGCCGTCATCAATTTCATTCCCCTCCAGGCTTTTCCACGGGGATTTGTAATGGACGTGATGATGTTTTCCAAGTTTGTGTTCTCCTTTTTTTCATTGAATATTATTTTGTAAGTGTAGTTCCTTAATTCAACATACTTACTGAGTTACAGTATTTAATTTTGATGAAGACAAACAACTTCCATTTACTGAATTTTAAAAACAGCACTGATTTTTTTTAATAGACCACCCATATTCCTGGGCGCATTGCCTACTTGAGATATCTCTTAACACACAGCGTACTTGTTATCTTCAAAAAAAAGGCAACAGAACTACTTATAGGTGAGACTGACTTGATTATCCACAGAATTATTAATATACAACAACCAATACTAAATGGTTTTATTCTCAGCTGATCTCATGCTGGTCCAATTGCCATTCTTTCTTAGGTTTCCCCATAATAGGTTTAGAGTCATAAAACTGAGACACTCAATGTAAATGAAAGGTGAGGTTAGTAGTTTAGTCTATGAGACAGAAAGAAACTTGGTTAAATAAAAAGTGGGAACTCTTTCTCTGGAGAAATCTTCCTTCATCTCCACTTTGAATACTATCAAGTTTGCCACACATATAAGTTACTTGGGTAACTATAATTAGTTATGAATGATTTAATATAGTCAAAACAGGATGTGACAATGGGTCCTGTTTATATGTAGCTTTACAAGCAGAAGTTTCACCCTTGAATCATGACTTTTTAATAGATGTGCTGAATATTATAAAATGGAAATTAAAGAAGGTCCTAGAACAATGGTTCTCTGAAGGGAGGTGTGTCAGTTTTCCCCTAGAGCACCTTTAACACAGTCTAGGGACATTTTGGGTTGTTACACCTGGCTGAAGAAAAGAGGGATTTTATTACCATCCAGTGAGTAGAGGCCAGGGGCGCTGCTCAACACCCTACATTGCACTGAGCAGCCCTGTGACAAAAATGTATCTCTCCCAAAACATTAGTAGAGCCAAGACCAAGAAGTCTCGATCAAGAGTAAGATTTCTCAGAGGCAAAGCACCTTGCTTCCTTTATTTTAAATATGTTTTTATTGTCAGAGAGAGAGGAAGAGAGAGGGGTAGAGAGAGAGAGAAATACCGATATGAAAGAAACATTGATCAGCTGCCTCCTGCACACCTCTTACTGGGGATCGAGCCGGCAACCTGGGCATGTGCCCTGACCAGGAATCGAACCAATAACCTCTTGGTTCATGGGTCAACACTCAACTACTGAGCCACACCGGCCAGGCAGCAGCTTGTATCTTTTTAAGAGATGTTTCTCTCTAAAGGACAACCAAGAAAATTTGGATAAACTTGTCTACCTTAAATGTTTGAATCTTAATTTTTCATTTTCCAGAAGAACTACTCAAAGAATAATTAAAGCCCCCATGTGCTGTAACCTGCAAAAAATGTATAACTTGGAGCAACTATTATGATTCAGTATTTTAACATCTGTTCTCTAGAAATGAGAACAGCCTCATTTTACTATCAAAAGGAAGTAAAACCTATTTATTTTCAATAATGACCATGGGTGATCTGAAGGAAAAAAAATGCTCCCGAATAGAAAGGAAGCATCTAAGCTGCATACAGCCTGTTTACTACCATTCCCAAGTCTAGACAGTGCCTGGCACAGAGCTGACATTCAGGAAACACACTGGATGACTCTCATAGGTTCCTTATTTTTCCACTCAAGCAGCAGATATCCTGTATTATACAGGATGAGTCTGGAGTTTGGCAAAGTGATTAGGCTTCTCACAAACTGTATCATGGGCTTGAAGGCTAGGACACTGTCCTCTGCTCTCTGCATTGGTAATCTGAGAAGGTATGAAAGGCAAGGCCTGACCTGGCGAGCAGTTCTAAACCTATTCCTCCTCCTAGAGTTGCAAACCCTCCATGAATGACTCTAAAACTATTTTAATTTTTAAAATAATTATTTTAATGAATTACATTAACAGTTAACAATTCCTAGACCTTGCAAAGCTATATACCATATGGAATGGGTTTCAGGGAACCGAATTTTGTATGGGAGTTTCTGGAGCCAGCAACCAAGGCATAACTTGAGAGTCGAAACAAGAAACAGAGGACGTGTCTCTGCTGCAGCTTTGATCTGAGGATGGGAATTCTCTTTGACATTTTTCAGAATCTCTTGCCTTGATTGGAGTCACGGCCACCTGGCCTTGACGACTGGATGATGAGTGCCAGGCGACACTGGTTTATGTTTTGTTTTCCTCTCCGAGCACTCTGTGTACCCTGCTATGGTTTTTGTTGTGTTTGAGAAGTATTTGGACTGTGCACAGAGCAGGCAAATTCCATTCTCTGAGGACTTAACAAGCCTTCCTTTGTCCCACAAGAAATAAGCTCGTTAGAGATGTTTCCTGCTCTCTAAAAATCTTCATCTCATGTTGCAAAACTGTGCCTGGAACCAAAACATCTTAACAGTATGTTTACATTTCTAGAAAATATGACGCCACTAAAGCATGATATTACAAAACAAGCGTCTTCAGAAGTGAGGTCGGGAAGTCACCCTCTCCAAACTCATGTCCCTTTCTTATTTTTCTGCCCAAAACCATGCTCACTTATGCCTCGTAGAGAAGTATGGTGCCTAAACATTTTCATATAGAAGGGAACTGGCAAGATTTACCATCAAGTGGAGTTGTATTTGGTGAAAACGCTTTACTTGGCTTGATGATTGATTGAGTTATAAATTGTCTCCTCCTATTTCCAAAAGAGGGTATAGAAAATGCGTAAGACAGAACATTTAAAATGTCAAAAGGAAAAGCCAGAACCATTAAGAGGAAAAATGTAGAACTAGTGACTATATTAATAGCCCATACTTACTTCGTGTATACTACACATAGCTTACATTTTTAAGAGTTTAAATGTGTTCACTCACATAATTCTTACCACAGCACTGTTAAGTGGATACTTTTGTTACCCCCATTTTACTGCAGCACAGAGATTAATAATCTCCCTGAGGTCACACAGCTAATAAGTGATAGGCTGGGATTTGATTTCAGGCAGTCTCTCTTAGAACCTGTGTTCCAAACTAGGATGTTACCTAAACTCGTGACACCACTTTTCTGAGCTTCAAGGCAGGCAAGGCAAGAATATTCTGTATTTTTCCCAGGTGCTAAATTCTTTAGGAAACGGTTGGGTGGCTTGTAATGTGAGTAACATTATGTAACATGACAAAAATTATCATTCATTGATGTTTTGCGCAAGGTCCAAATGTGTTCTTCAAAATAATATTTCTCACATCAACCCTCAATAAAGGGGGTTTAAATAGTAGCTCAATGTAATCTGAAATCCAGATTTCCTAAAGTGAATAGCGTTGATGATTGGGTGTGATTTCTGTTGTTGATCCCTGTTTTGTTTACATTTGTAAGCCTGTATTAACTTGCTTTATTTATTTGTCTTTGTATCCCTGGTTTCCTCTGCTAGGAAGACAGCATGGCAGGTACCCAAAACTATCTGTCATATAAATTCATGAATAAATGAATTTTCTAAAGGCAGAGTTCTGCCCAAGAACCTAGCCTCAAGATCCTCCAAGTATAAATTATGACTATAAAGTATAACATATACGTACATCATAACTAGGAAAAGTCGTTCTTAAGGAGTTCCTGGCAGAGTGACCTTGACTGCAGTTGCAGGCAGGGCGTTGACTCTGGGCCTTGCTGTTTAGCTTCCAGAAAGAACACTCCCTGTTGCATCTGCACAGAGCGGGTGACTGTCAGGAGCCACAGCACCCGAGCGCTGCAGCTTGCTCCCCGCCTCCTGGGCCCTGGAAGCAGGGCCTTTGGTGCGCTGCCCACGGGCTGGCTGACCAGCGCCCTCTCAGAGCCAAACAGGCCTCGGATGTCCACCTTCTCTGCCCTTTTGCGTTTGCGAGGTTCCGACCCTACACGCAGCATGTGAAGGAGAGGCTGGCGCTGGGCCCGCTTGCAGCTCAAGGAAGGGAAGGTCATATCACTTCAGAAACTGCCGGGCAGGCCAGGGCCAGCTCAAGTGAAACCAAAAGTCATTGGCTCCAGTAACGTCTCTAAAACTGCACCGAGCCCAGGCTGCTGTGGATCTGTGGCTGGGGCATCACCCCGTGCACCGAAGTGTTTCGGGTTCAGTTCCCAGTCAGGGCGCATACCCAGGTTTCGGGGTCAGTCTGCGGGCGGGTGCATTATGCAGCCGATTGATGTTTCTCTCTCCCTCCCTCTCCCTTCTTCTCCCTCTAGAATCAACAAAAAACATATCCTCGGGTAAGGACAGAAAAAAAAACCCAAAAAGCCAAAAACAAAAATACTGCAATGAAATGCTAATTACACAATTAAAAAAAAATTATAGCTGTTCTAAGTTTTGGTTTAACAGATTATAGAGCCACTCCTAGTCTTATCGTTGACATTCTTATAACCCTGCATTCCTTTTATTTCCCCCATACAGCTTGCTACACCACACCTTGGACTTTTGTTCTTTCTCTTTCTTTATTTGGCTTGGAACACCCTTACCACAACCCTTCTCTGTCTTCAAGTTTCTCCTCAGGTGTCACCTTCCTGAAATTCCCAGATCCTGCTGTGCGCCCCTCCACTGTGTCCCCTATGTCTTAGCACTTACCATGCCATTTATAAGAACCTCTTTTAAGCGTGTGTCTCCTGCATTAGACTATGAGCAATTCCTTGAGAGCAGGAACCATGTCTTAGTCATTTCTTGCCCACAGTTCCCAGCATAAAGCCTGGCATGTACAGTGAGGTAAATAAATATTGATTGCAATGAATCATGTCACCAATAAACCATGATGCTATCACTCTAACCCTTTCCACGTTCAAAATTCTGCAAGCACCAACAACATTTTAAATGAGTGCATCTTAGAATTTCCAATAATGTAATCATCTGTTGTTTCTCTCCCTTTTCAGGAACCTCTTTCTGGAGCTGTAAGAGACAGAGGGAAGAACCATGTCCTCGATTGCTCCTTTCTATGGTGGCAAGTCCATTCTCATCACCGGGGCCACAGGCTTCCTGGGCAAGGTCTTGATGGAAAAGCTGTTTCGCACCAGCCCTAACCTGAAAGTCATTTATGTCCTTGTGAGGACCAAGGCTGGCCAGACATTGCAGCAGAGGGTTGTCCAGATCTTAAACAGTAAGGTATGACTCATGGGAAGAGACTCGGGGCAAGGTGACTCACTACAGTGTGCCCTTGTAGCCTCACACTGGGGGAAGGACCAGGGTATCCGGGCAGATGGAGAAGAGGGGACAAAGCAAGATAGGAACCTACTGCTCCTGGGAATCTGTAGTGCTTTCCCATAAAATAGAAGAGCACTTGGGTTCTGTCCCGGGCAAGTGCACAGGTAACCTATGTTCTGGAGATTACAGAGTAAGAATCAAAATGCTAGAACTCCCAGAGTGGACTCTCCAGGCTTGGAACCCATCACAAGTTCACCTGACCGCTTCCCTAATTGTCTTCTAAATGTAAGGTATTCTTTCCCTAGATTTGGGATAGTCTCCTCTATGTTATATTTATATTATATTATATTATATTATATTATATTATATTATATTATATTATATTATATTATATTATATTATATTATATTATATTATATTATATTATATTATTATATTAATCATATTATATTAGAAACAAATATGACTACTAAGTAGCCATGCAGTAATACTTTTGGTTATTTAAACCCACAAGGTTATATACCTGATATTTATCAGTTGTACTCTTTATCTGTGGTAACTTGATATTTCTACTATCCCATAAGTTGTAAGGGAAAAACAGTGAAAATGAAATATTAGATGTGTGAATGAGCATTCCTCCAAAAATATTATGCACATTCTCTCCTGGTTTAATGATAAATTTGAAGGCAGTGTATAGGCTTTGGTCTCAAACATATGTTGGCACAAATTCTGGCTTCCCAATATTATCACTTTTCCTCTTAGCTCTGGTTTGCAATATTTAAATTAGAAATAATGACAACTGCTTCCCAGGACTGCCTCAAAAATTACATAAAAATATGCACATATCTGGTTCATAGTCCCCTCTGTAATATAAAAGGTCACCTAGCGTCGGCAAAAAGGAAAACGTAAATAAGGTATTTTTTTATTAAGTCTTCTTTCCAGTGTTGAGCAACACTAACATCTAATGTGTATCTGGGAGCACAACACATTCTAGATGCCCAGTAACCCTCACGATCACATGTACCTGCTGACACCGCGATGAGATGTGGGTATGTCCATGAGAGCATCAGAAAAGCCTCCCCTCTGTCTCGTGGCCTGACGCAGCAGTGGACAAGCACCGCTGACAGCTCCTGGGTACTTAGGACACAGCAGACACTACTCAAAGGGCTTTTGCAACAACCCTGTAAAGTAAGAGCATTTTATAGATGGCAAAACTGAGATCTGAAGTGTCATCTTAGCACAGGTCACCCAGCTAGTAAATGGGAGAGTCAGACTTCAGATCCCCCTTCCCCCCCGTCTGACTCCAGGGCCAACACGCTTATTCCTACCCCAATACTGGCCACATCGTAACTAACGGTTCTTAAGAATAAGACCCACTCGTCTACTGATGGGCACTCAGGCTGCTTCCAGGTCTTAGCTATTGTAAACTGTGCTGCTATGAACATCGGGGTGCATATATTCTTTCTGATTAATGTTTCAGGATTCTTAGGATACATTCCTAGAAGTGGGATCACTGGGTCAAAAGGCAGCTCCATTTCTAATTTTTTGAGGAACCTCCACACTGTTTTCCATAGTGGCTGCCCTGCTGCACTAGGTTCCCCTTTCTCCACACCCTCGCCAGCAGGTGTCATTTGTTGATTTGTTGATGGAGCCATTCTGACAGGCATGAAGTGATACCTCATTGTGGTTTTAATTTGCATTTCTCTGATGATTAGTGACCTTCAGCATTTTTTTATGTCTCTTGGCCATCTGTATGTCCTCTTTGGAGAAGTGTCTTTTCAGGTCCTTTGCCTATTTTTTAATTGGATTGTCTTCCTCTTGTTGAGTTGTATGAGCAACAAAAAAACAAAACAAAAAAAAGAGTAAGACCAAAGGCCGATATGGTATAAAATCAAAATCTAGAAGAGAGTCTCCGATCTCTCTTCAGAAAGTCTCCTAATGGACTTTCATAGCATAGAAGATATGGCTCTTTAGTCTTAAGCCAGTGTGTAGATTTTCAACTCACCTTACATGATGCAGTATTTTTAAAGGTAGATTAAGGGTAATGGGAATGTGAAGCTCGGATATTTTTCTTCAAAAGGTAATAAATAAAAATGTCACTATGTCTTCAGGAAATATGGTCAAGAGAACATCTGTTCTATCAAAATGTATGCGTCTGCTTCATTCCTTCCCTTTCATGGTATAGATAGCTACCACCTCTCACCACCTGCTTCCATGCTTTCAGAGGGAGATAATTAAGAGGGGGAATCCTTGGAAAGAAGGATATTTTTAATCCATTGGTCACATAAAACTGGGGCTCAAGAATCAAAAGAGAGGATCCACTTCATCACATATGACTAAGTTTCTTAAGTATTTTCTGAGCACTTAAAAGTATATATCAAAGGAGGGAAAGGTTTCTGGATTGATGGCAGATTCTTGAGAACTTTCCCTCAAAGATAATTAAGAAAATAACCAGAGATACACACAAATACGATATACATATATTTACTGTAGTATTATTTACAGTAGCAAACACTGGAACCAAACTGAGTGTTCCACAGTAGATGAGTAATTAAATAAGCAATTATATCTATGTGTGTTAAAAGATGACCTGGATATTTCAGTGCCTTCCACCCTCGACTGTGTGCTTATATATCCTAAGCAGGGAGCATTCATGCTGGGAATGGAATGCTTGTGTGAGCAAAGGGACAGGGTGCTGCGAGGCTCTGGCTCCAGAGCCTGTCAAAACATGGGTAACATTGAGGGCCTCTTGCTCTGGAGGCAGAATTAATGGAGATTTGTAATTAGCCCAGGGCTCTTATGTACATTCCACAACCCAGGGAGAGTCAAGGCTCTGGGTTCACTCAGGAGTCAAAATGTTATATTAGCTTCAAGATGAGTCACCTTTGTTTCTCACAAACACTATAGGAAGGATGAATGAATGAATGAATGAATGAATGAATGAATGAATGAATGAATGAGAAATATATGTTAATGTAAAGGGAGAACTGTCTCTTCTGACCGCAGAGGAAAGGATTAATATGAACCAGGAGAGCCTAGCCAGTGTGGCTCAGTTGAGCATCGTGGTTTGATTCCCGGTCAGGGCAGGTGCCTGGGTTGTGGGCTCGATCCCCAGTAGGGGGAATGCAGGAGGCAACTAATCAGTGACTCTCTCATCATTTTTTTGGTTTGTTTTTTGATTTTTTTTTTTTTTTAATGTATCTTTATTGATTTCAGAGAGATGAAGGGAGTGGGAGATAGAAACATCAATGATGAGTGAGTCATTGATCGACTGCCTCCTGTGCACATCCCCCACTAGGGATCGAGCCCACAACCTGGGCATGTGCCCTGACAGGGAATCGAACCACTATCTCCTGGATCATAGGTTGACGCTCAACCACTGAGCCGTGCCCAACCGGGCATCATCAATGACGTTTCTATCTCTCTCTCCCTCCCTCTCTCTGAAATCAATAAAGATATATTTTTAAAAAAGGAGAAAAAAAAAGTGACATGGATTGCTGAAGAGATTTGTCCTCTAGCATGTAGAATATTTGCCATGTGCAGGTACTTAAAGGTTTTATTTCTAATAATTAGAGAACTTCTTCAAAGTAGCTGTTACCTATTTATCATGAGATAATTGGTGCTCAGACACTTGGCAATTTTGCAAAGGAGTCACAACAACCTAGTTAGTTGTGATTCAGGGTTTCAGGCTCCAATCTATGATACAAAAGTTAATAGTCTTTCTATCAGGCATCATTGCCTCCTCAATACCTATCCTATCTTATTTTAAAAGGGACTCGGTTGGGTAGTGCTTATATTTTTGGTTTGGGGTTGATATTTTTATTATGTCACTTATATTTTCTAAACTAATAGTTTGAAAAAAAGTTGGACATCTTGCATACCCTCCTTGATCAGTACTTGGACTGGAAGACCTTGGGAAGTTGTACTTTGGAACACTCTTATCACGTTAACAAAAACAAAACAAAACAAAACTGAGCCCAACCTGCGTGGCTCAGCAGTTGAGCATCCACCTAGGATCCAGGAGATTGAGGTTCGATTCCCAATCAGGGCACATGCCCAGGTTGCAGGCTCCATTGATCCCCAGCAGGGAGTGTGCAGGAGGCAGCTGATCAATGACTCTCATCATTGATGTTTCTCTCTCTCTCCCTCTCCCTTCCTCTTTCTCTGAAATCAATAAAAATATATTTTAAAAAAACAACTGAAATCAGTCTTCAGTCTGGAGGAAGCACAAAGGTTTGTTAATTTGTGAAAATTAAGTTGAGTAAGGACCAAGATTATTAGCATAACAAGTTGAAGAATCGCATCACTTGTCTCTGGTTTCTTTTTATTCTTCCTTTTGACATTTCACGGATCCCTCAGAAATCTAGGATGCGTGGGGGGACAGCAAGGAAAATAAGAGAGGGGCCAAAGCTTACAATTCCTCAATGCAGAGGGGTTTTGTTTGAGGAAGTACCCAGATCACAAGTTCTGAGTGGTTAGATGACTCGTGGCGCAGTTTGAGGTGGGCATGTTAGGACCTCAGGAGCTGGTGGGAAGGAAAGGAAATCTGACACNTACCCAGATCACAAGTTCTGAGTGGTTAGATGACTCGTGGCGCAGTTTGAGGTGGGCATGTTAGGACCTCAGGAGCTGGTGGGAAGGAAAGGTCAGGTTCCGAGAAATAGCCTGCAGCTCTCTGGCAGTTCCAGAAATTTAATAAGCACCCAATACTCCAGTTTTCAAAAAAAGCACGCCAAAGTCAAGTCCTGCAAAACTAGCATCAATAATGGTGATACTTGTTAACTACTTACTGTCTACTAAAGGACAGATGCTTTTATTGTCCTCACAACAAAAATCCAAGGAAGGGTTTTCTTCGTTTGTTTTTGTCCATTCAGGACCGTATTGCATTTTCCCCCATATTAATATAACCTGTCACAGAAATGGCCCTGTAGATGCCTGTCGCAACATAGTCTGGCCCCTGT